TGCCACAGGTCTAAGAGGGGGGGGGGCGGGGACTAATGGCAGCATGGATGGATACGAGGGAAGATGAAGGGAGAGGAGGAAGGGAAAAAAGGCAGAAAGAGAAGGAGAAAGAGATGAAAGAGAGGGAGGGATTGAAGAGGACTGCTCGTCTGTATAAGATTTGAATTTAACAAAAGCCTGAATAAATGCATTTGCATTAGAAATAGTGTATCACCCTTCTGTCATCATACAAAATAAAAAACCCCTGAAAAAATGGCTACAGGAGAAAGAAGCTACAATTCCTCCAGCCATGTTGCATTGAGCACCAACTGACTGCTGGCTAAGTATTTAGTAAAATGTCTCCCTTTCATTCTTGTCAATGAAATTCACTTACAACAGTCGTCGTGGCTAAAGCCGCATGAGAGCTCAGAGCTTATACGTTCAAACGAGCTTTGGGGCTCTCTAGTGAAGTACTTGGCTTGGGCACTAGGAGGCAAAATGTCAAAATATTATTCATGGGAGCTGTGGGAGTGGAGGAGAGGAGGAGAGAGGAGAGATGGAGGGACAGGCAGACTCAGACAGCGGAGTGTTTTCATATTGTATTACCATCACAGCATATGGAAGGAATAAAAGTATTCACATGCAAATGGAAGTGCATCTCTCACATTTATGCAAACATAAAAATAAAAAAAAATAAAAAAGAAATAGACACAGCGGAGTGCATCCACTTCTCTTTTTATCTGCCAATGTTAAATGCAGATCTGTCTGCATTTCTCACATCAAGCTTTTAGGTGCTTAAATCTCAAACTTGCCATTTTCGACGAGTAGACATCTAGTACAGATCCACAACCATGGCTTCTTCATTATACAAATGAAAATACAAAATACTGAAAAACGTGGAGTGCCTTTTCTTTTCTCTTATGAATGTCGGTTTCTAAAATGTAAATGTTATATAATGCATCTCTCCACTTCTAGAAGGCAACAAGGCCAGTTAGTTATCCAAAAAAAAATAAAAAGTGTTTCGGCTACACAACGACACAAAAAGCAGCCGCACAATAAAACTTGGATATACATTTTAGTGCGCCACCTTATCAAACTTCAAACAAAACCTCAGTCTTTGTAGAGTATATGGGAAGATGACAATCATATAAACAAGTGCTTTGTCTAGGCGTGTACAACTTCAAAGTTGAAAAACGTGACCCATTTCCTCTCCAAGCTGTAATTGCCGCCTACTACTGTTTCATGCATAAACAGTTCACATAATCATGTGCCTGGAAAAGTCCACAAATTGTTGCTGCACAATGTGTATAGGTGACATGTGACAAAAACTCCTAAAATAACATGTCCTCCGCAGCTGACTAACCTCCCCTCACCGTCATTGTGACAATCAGATGGACAGCACGGCTCAAAACTGCCAGCGGGGAATCATCATGACAGCCATTAGTGATTGTATTTATAGTTTAGTGCGGAAAGGATGGGCCAGTCTGCTGGGAGTGTGATAAAACCCCAGCAAATGTTGAATTAAACTTGTTAATGAGGACATTTCCTGATTAGAGCGGTCATCTTATTGATTCCAACTAGTGTATCACTGTCTCACTCGTGTAGCGCAGTTAATCATTTGTGAGAATCTGTTTAGCTTTTGTCAGGAGAAGCCAAACCGAAATTAGTTGTCGCTTTCCTCTCTCTCTCTCTCTCTCTCTCTCTCTCTCTCTCTCTCTCTCTCTGACAACACGTGATGACTCACAACAGAAACGCGAGCACAACTAGCACAACTACACAAATGTACAGAAGACAACGAGAAGTCCCGAATGTGGCAGCTTTACAAGGGACATTAAGAGGCACTTACTTGGCCTGCATTGCACTGCATAATTAGGTCCCCTTGAGGTCCTCTTTTGGCATTTGTGCGCCTATTTACCCACATCTGTTTGCAACTAGTTGACCCATATTGCACATGACTGTGGAATGTCCAGGAAAATTGCTCGAGACTGCAATCTGAGGTCCTATTTTTGACCTCCACTCCGCCAAAAACCCTCTCAACCTTTCAGCTTTCAAGGCTTTAAAACGGCTCAATCAAGATGAAGTTTGGCAAACCTTTTATTTACACACTTTGCAACATACACTAACCCACTGTCAACTACAAGAGTTCAAAGCCGGGTGTATTGATACAGAGCAGATATCACTGTTAATAAGTGCTAAAATACTGTAAACATGCTAACAGCTGACCCTTTTCCAAACACCTACAAGAGGGAATGGTGAGCGGAGCCTCATTTAACTGCAGCTGGAAGTGTCAGGATGCAAAGATTATGACCACTAATGAATATTAGGGAGCCGCTGGGTGTTTAGAAGCAGTTCAACCCCATTGATTTCCCTGTTGGGTGAAGACAACTTTATCCCTGTGTCAAGTCCCACGCTTATCTTCCCCAGACTGCAAGGCAGCCGACAGACAGACAATGTGTTTCTCCCTGGCTCCGTTTCAGGATGATTCGAGCCTGGCACATGTGAGCGGGATACCTGACCGAGGTAAACCACACAGGGGGGAGCAAAGAGCAGAAGGAGTGTTTGTGAAGTGGACAAAGATGCCCAGCTGTGAGGGTGGGGGGGGTGTGTGTATAGCCTTATAGGGGGAATATTCAGGTCAGCACAATTAACACAAAGCCCAGTGTGTTGGATTATCACAGAGAGCAGGTGGCTGTGAAAGACAAGGGGAGAGAAAGTGAGAGGAAGTGGTGAGACAGACAGATGGCTGTAGAGTTGTGTGCGTCCGCACTCAGCAGCACAGGAGGGACGAGAGAAGAATAGAGACGGTAAGCAGAGAGATACTACCCTACTAGATCTCAGAGATTCATTTCAACCTCACATCACAGAGCCGTAGCCACAAAGCACAAATAGCCGTAGAAAATTAGCTGATTTCAAACATGTTTTCATTGATTCACCATTTGTAGTCACAAATTGCACCTTTGAGAGGGGAAATTACCTTGACACAGCGAAGCGAGCATTTGTGGAGAGTGCTGTAGTGGATGTGTCTATATAAGCATAAAAACGTCAATAATGTACAGGAAGAATAAGCAGTGTCACCGCGACTTCAGTTATTTTCTCAAGACACCATCTGAGCCTCAAGATTGGAGGCTGGATAATAAACTGATGAATAAACAGGAAAATGGAAAACTTTCTGCTGGTAAGTGTGTTTGGATTAGCATTACTGTGACCAAGACAGATGCACACACTCAGAAAAGTAAGAAAGAAAAAAGATTCTGTGTGATATTTATGGATTTAACAGAGATTAATTTCTTCAAAGCCCCGCTTAGGGCAAACTGCGTGTGCAAGGGCAGCTGTCTGAGTAATTCATCCCATTTATCTTCAACTCACACACACACACACACACACATACACAAAAAGAGAAGACTTGGGGCCATGTAAAGTGGCAAAACCCTCATCAATGGTGTCAAACACAAATACACAATGAGCTGCAGGTCATCATTATTTCTGACTTAATGTCCTCCAGTCAGAGGGGATGACACAGCTGGGGGGCCACCAGTTGGACACCGCTATGCTAATCCATTAGCCACCTGCTTCAAGTGAGGGGGAGTTGACGCTTGATTAAATTTTGCCATCTTCCTCAGCAAATTGGGAGAGTCTGAGTCAACACTGAAGTAGGGATTGTGATTTTAATAATAGACACAAAAAACCACTGATTTCTGCTGTATTAAGTTCTGCCTTCATTCCCCTCGCTGTTTTATTCTTCCTCCATTTTCCACCTTGTTATTTTATTCACATTATGCTTTTCAGTGAAATTGTGCCTCTTTTTTCACCTTTTACTTCTTGTTGTTTTCTTGTTTTGTGGAGGTTTTTTTTTTTATACTAGCCCGTGGGTTATTCTATGATTATAATAAGTATACAATTGAAAGTTATATTACGTTTTCTCTTAATGGTCAGAGGAAATGAAAACAAACTACCCCAAGTACTGGGCTTTTCACATTTGCTTCTATTTTCAGGCACTTAGTTTTGCTGCTTCTAACCACTATTCTTGGTGTCTGCTTTTGTTGTTCTCTGCACTCAGCAGCTCCACTCTGGGAATTAGCATTCAAACCTCTTTCGGCTTTAAAGGGAATTGTACAACAAGAGAGACTGTGCTGCAGCTACCCAGGCGCTCTTCGCTTTACCAGCATATGGGCTCTTGTTTAGGTGACGCTCCCTGCTGAAAGGAGGCCTTTGCACTGCTGAGGATGCCGCATCAAAGCACAGGCAGGCACATTGTGTCATGCAACCGAAAGTCCTCGCAACATTTCTGTAACACTAGATGTGGAATGGACTGTGCACAAACCAAGCATCGTTTGCCCCACATATACTTCTGTTCCCTTTGAGTCACCTCTGGTTTAACAAGGTCCCAGTGGTTTCATTTCACTGTTCACTACACATTCTCTCCCTCACACCTTCACAGATGTGCTCAGCCTCTAGAATCCATCGAGGTGTTTACAAATAAAGCAAACTATACAGTGAGCAGAGGACCCACCCTTTTACAAAGCTAGCTTGGGTTTTACAAGCCTTTGTTGAAACAGTATTTCTGCAGAGATTTATTCCTCTTCTTCGAGCAAATCTTTTATTACTCTGTCTAAAGAGCCCAAACCAGATACTGGGATTTTCTGAGCTGCAGGTACTGCATCTACTATTGGACTTGATTGTAACATTTAAGCATTTTGGCAATTTAACATGGATAAAACAAGGATTATTTTATCAGCAGTTGACAACTCCAGCTCCCGTGACTGGGATTCATAAGAGGTGCAGCTGCTGTGTTAAGAATGTGGTAGATATTCAAATGGCTGTGAACTGATCCTTGCTTTTCCAAATGTTTGTCTCCCTGAGCAAAACTGATCAGACATGGTTCATTTCTGAGTAGTTCCTGACATTGATTATTTAATCACTGCATCTTCTCATGTAAAAAAAAAAAAAGAAAAAAAGATTTTATCTGGTTAGGTAAGACATCTGATTTGCACACTACTGTGTGGTCCTGGTGAGTGGCGTACCGTGATCCAAGATGATGAGCTGGGCGCTGGACTGGATGTTGCCGGCATCGTTCTCTGCAAGGCACTGGTAGAAACCCTCATCTGACTTGACCAGACCCAGAACCTGCAGGTTGTGCTCCTTCTACAGAACAGGAAGGAGGAAAAATAGAAAAGAAAGGGAAAAACAGAAGTTTATATTTGTACAATGTCTTCAGTGCAGAAAATGTAGAAAGATACAAACTTCAGTGCCAGATGAACTTACAATTATTTTGAAGTAGTCACTGGGGATGACAGCATCTCCATTCTTGACCCATTTGACAGTGGGAGCTGGCGACCCTGAAACCTCACATTCAAAAACGATGTCCATGGACTCGTGGGCATAAATGTTGGCTGGCCGCTTGACAAACTGCGGAGGAACTGTGGAATACAGATGAGAAAGAGGAGTCAGGGAAGTTTCAAAAAAAAAAAAAAAATGATATTGCATTTATAGTTTGGGGGAATTGACTGAACAGTTAAAGCAAAGCAGCAAATAAGAGATGATTGGGAAAAAAAATGTGTAGGAATAATTTTTTTCCGTAAGATATTCAGTAACCAATTTGTCAAAACTAACCAGGCACTTCAAAAAACCAGAGCTCTGGTCTCTGCCAGGAAATGAACGAGACCAAATGATTCCATATCTCTTCAACTGCCAAATTGCCAGTTAAGGGAGGGTGGAAAGAACAACAAACAGTATCATCCAACAACCACCCTTCACACAGCTCTGACCTGTTCGGCAGATGGCAACACTTGGACTATTTGATAAAAAAAAAAACAAAAAAAAAAACGTTCAATAATCTCCGTTCTTTCTTATTCAGGAAATTGGTGAAAAATAACAGCCGTTTTCGTCGCAGTACAGTGCGTTAGCATGCTACACTAGCAAAGCCAGGCACTTGCAGATCTCCCCTCGTCCTGGTAATGAGGGCCAGAAAGGAGTTATTTGATCTGCTGCGGTGATACAGCGCCTCATCAATCTGTCCTGGAACAAGGTCACTGGGAGCACAGGGCCCAGGCCTCTTCCTCTCTCTATAATTGGACTGTACGTGTTGTGGGGGGAGAGAGAGAGTGAGAGAGAGCGAGACAGACTCCATGTGTGTATGTACAGTGTGTGGGTGTCTCTGTGAACAAGTGCCTTTGCTGCCTCTGTGCTTTCTCTGATAAGCAGCGACCTCGCTGACCACAGTTTAAATGACTGTATTGTTAGTGTGTCGCTGTGTGTCAAGCTTCGCCATCAGCCTCCTGGGCTCTGTGATAGCTAGTTATTAGCATCTATTTTGTGGCTATTCACATGAGCTGATTGGATATTAGAAGCAGTGAGCGGATAAGGTCCTTTTCTGGTTTTATTCAGCAGAGTTTACAAGTTGTGAGGTCAAGTCCTCCTCGTGTGCCTGATGTAGCTGTGGCTAATTTGTTTTAACATGACATTTCTAGTTCACGGATTAGCCTTCATCCTGTTGGGATGTGTAGTTAAAAACAGCAAGAGAATTAAGACTCCCGAATTATAGATGATTGTAATTAAATTTGTGAAAGGAACAATCCACTGTATACACATTTCTCAAACAGTAATAGCCTCATTACACCAAGAAGCAGTGCAGTTACAGGACACATTGGTCTCAATGATGCGTTTGTATTTTCCTGACCTTGAAATGCACTTTCTCCATCTGTTTGGTATTTTCATACCCGATACAGAGCACATGGAGAAAAGGAGGGAGGAGAGGCGGGAACTCGGGAAAGGAAGCACACAGGGAGACAACACAAAGCCACTCCCACAAGATGCTCCCTCGGTATCTTCAGTGAAAAACCCCAGGGGTAACGTGTGTGTCCCTTCAAGCGGTGCTTTTAAACCTTTTAACAGTTGTAGTTTTAATTGAGAAATGTAATATATTGGGATTATGATTATCCTGTGTTTTTAGTTACAATTTCATAAGAGAAATTTTCCACATCTTCCTCTGGCTAATCACATAAACAGGATAATTATGGGGAATTATCAGTGTGTGCAAACAGCTTGAACAGACAGCAGTCGCAGTTGTGATCATGCATAACTGTAAATAACTTGTGTGAAATGAAATAAACGATTTCAACATTGTATGCTGAGCGAATGCTTTTAGCTGGTGGTGGTGGTTAATAGAGACCAGTACTTTAATTTGGGGTTGCAAGTCATAAACAAAGTTGAGCCCATGGACGTAGACATATAGCTAGCAGGGCAGTCAACAGAAGGCCAAGTCTATGGGCTCAACCTTTTAATGACAAATTTGAGCATTTAAATTAGAAAATACAAATCGCTAAACTTAAACAACCAAACACATTTAACAGTTTAATATACCCGGGTGGAGTTCCCCTTCAGATTTGATGCTACAAAATAAAAATGAAATACAATAAAAAAACTTACAAACAAAAACAGTAATTCAAACAAAAGCCCACTGTACAGCATCTTGCTTTCTCCTGTGGCTTCCAAATTCCAGTTTTCCAACCACACAATGCAACAGAAAAGGTCAAAGACATAACACCTGAGTAGTGCAAAAGAATACTTTCCTCACATTGCTTAATGAGTGTCGAGACATTTCTGTGAGCTACACCGGCGAATATTGACGACTGAGCCACGGATGGAAATGAGGATGGTGATGCTTGTAGACTGGATCACTGTATGATTGTCAAAACAGCTTAAACCCAGCTCTGTGTGTGTCTGTGTGTTTGTATATATATGTGTCCGTGTGTATCTATGTGTGTGTGTACTCGTGTTCCCTGCAGGGGGAAGTGTGAGCTGTGAATAATGTGTTTCACAGTGTGGTGTCCCTTGGATATTTGCCTCTAGTAGCTGTGTAGCAGAGGCAGGTGGAATCCTTGGTTTACTTTGGTGTGTCAGGAACACGCCATCAAGACACCAGTGAGTCTGTGTGTGTGTGTGTGTGTGTGTGTGTGTGTGTGTGTGTGTGTGTGTGTGTGTGTGTGTGTGTGTGGCTGGGCCACATGTGAATGTGAATAATCTCAAAACGTATCTGGATAGTTGTCTCATTCCATTATTACCGGTGCTATATGTTGTACATAACTGTTTGCTTCCTTCCCTGCCGGCCATATGTGTATGGTTGGTTTTTGTTTGCATAACATGAGTGTGTGTGTATATAAGTGACTGCTTATGTATGCGAACATATGTTTTTTTTTTTAAGTCCATGCTGTCTCAATCTGTGCACACTCACTGCATTTGCATCAGATTCTGCATCACATTGCAGTGTCTGACAGTATCTGTATCTGTGTATATGTATATATACTGTGTGTGTGTGTGTGTGTGTGTGTGTGTGTGTGTGTGTGTGTGTGCAGAGCCCCCTGGTGAGGTTTGCTTGTGACAGGTTTTGATGGTGACTGGTACCCCTGTGGCTCTCTTTATCTCTCTCACGCTCTCTCTCTCTGTTTCACCACTCAGTCTCCCATTTTTTTCCCCCCTGACTCTTAATCTTCCTATAACTCCCTGTCTATCTCTCCATCTTCTGCCTCCCCCCTTCCTCTCTCCAACTGAGCAGACATGCACCATTTTCTCTAAATGGAGTTCAGACATTTGGAACCTATTGGACTGAGCAATGAGTAGAAACGCCTAAATGTACCAATAAAGCTTGAGGGGGGTGAGGAGGGGGGAAGGTGGAAGCTATCAGGACTCAACAGAGGGTGACATGTGTGTTAGGGTGTGTGTGTGTGTGTGTGTGTGTGTGTGTGTGTGTGTGTGTGTGTGTGTGTGTGTGTGTGGGGGGGGGGTGTCTCTCTCTGTGCAACAACATGCCCGATGACCTTCCTTAATTGGCTGTTTGCAGCATGAACCATGCATATGCAAAGGTGAACTTAGTCACATTTAGAAAAAGGATGCAGAGAAGAATTTTTGGCAACTAATGTGGCGACAGAGAACTCAAATTTAAAGCTAAGAAAATTTCATCAGTAGAAAAACAAGCCTTCTTTGAAAGTGCTGCGTAGACGCATGTACACTGTGATGGCAGGCAGTTCTTCATATGTCAACACATGAGGTTAATGCATGTTGGGAGAAAGAGGAAACCACTGCGGCTGAATTTTGTAGCCAGAGGGGAAGAGCCTTGTAAGTGTTACTAGATGCCAGCTGTCAGTCAACTCAAACAGCACTGAAGTCACTATGAAAACATCCAACTTCTTTTTCAAAAATAAGTGGGTCATTACCTGCACATAATAGAAGCCAGTGATGTCTCCGACTACTAGTCGTGCAGTTACGTAATGTTTTGATCATTTCTGCTGACTTCAGGTGGCAGAAATGTCAATAATGCACTGGAAAAGATACCAATGTGCAAACAAAGGGAATTCAGGTTTCAACAACAAAAAAAAGCTTTGCAAATAACTTCATGTGTAAGATATTATGAAGTAAGAAAACATTCAAAAAGTCTGTCAGACCAAAATAATCATTTAAATTCTTAACTGCTAAATGGAAGTAAAACTGTTTTTGTAGGCTGTATAATAAAAATATTAACATTCCACATGGCACCTTTAAAGGGGTGTAGAGGGTGTGATTGGGGTGTATTTGCTTGATTGGCAGGTGTCTAAGCCCGTCACACTCTGCAGTGCTTTAGCTGCTGTAATGCCCGACTGCAGCCTTCACACAAATTTGGATTTACTGGATCCAGTACATGACAAAAGATCCAGGAAATAAATATGTTACTTCATAAACATATGGATAATGTCACAAGATGCCAAGTCCATGTTTCCCTACAGTCCACAGACACAGAGATGCTCAACTCCACCAGCTGGAATGTCTCTAAATGGACTGACTTGTGTTTGAACATAAATACCACTCTCTAATGAAATAGAAATCCAACAGAGACAGAAAAACAACAGAGGAAGTGCAGATACATAAAAGACGGGAGAAAAAAAAAAGAAAACATCAGGACAAATATAAAGGAGGGAGAATAGCTGAAAGAACTCCGATGCCAGTTCTTTGGGGCTGGTTTTATCTCTTTAGCCCGTGGCTTAGTAAAAGAAGCTTTAATGCAGACTTACACTGACTCCAGTGAACTGTTAAAAGAGGGCCACAAAAAGGTCATGTGTGTGTCTCACTGTGAGCTTGTTAAAACAAAACCTCATAGGATTCCTAAAGGGATTCTGGGCAGATTACTTGACTTAAAGCTCCACTGGCAGCCAGGAGTGAACTGAATAGAGACATACTGAGGGGGGAAAGGCCAACCTCCATCTATTGAAAATTAAAAAAAAAGAAAAAAAGGTGAAATATCAAAATCAAAAACCTGAAGAAAGAAGCTGTTGCGGTCGGCGTATTTCCGATTAACTGGTGTGAGTGAAATAAACAGCTTATTACTCCCCAACATTCAGGCGACAGCAGTCATCTATTAAGGCCTAATGTATGATTGTTGAAGCTCGAG